ACAGGTGGAGGAAGTAGTCTCTATCCTTTACTGTTTTTTTTTTTTATCATTATTCATATCACAAAATATTTGACGATTGGAATTGTTGATATCTCCTTTTCATTTTCATGGTGATAAGTAGATAAATAGATGGGTTCTCATTATCCTTTTGGATTCTTCTCCATGAATAAGCCATTGAAAAGCTTGTGATTTCCTTCACTTCACCACGTTTCGTGAGTCACAAGTATTATTTTCATCGATTTTTTTATATATGAGATCCCGAATGAATTGGAATAAAATTATAGACAAAAAAAGATTCGAACGTGGGATTTCTCAATCTTTATATGCTCTCTGTTATATTAAACAGCTAAATATTAATAAAACAATTATCAACTGATAAAATAATTAATTTTGCGGAATAAATAATTAATTTTGAAATAATAATAATAATAGTAAAAAATAATTAGAAAGACCATGTCGCAATAGTAAATAATGGAAGGGGTCACTCTCTCGTCTATACATGGGCCCCGCTTTTCCCAGGATATGCTTGAAGGTGGGCCTGAACTAGATTCTTCTAATCCATCAATAGTTATAAATTGGTCGGTCCACTAAAAATGAAGTAACGAATAAAAAATAAAAATAAAAATGTGAAAATTCACATCTCATAAATAATCCTTTAAGAAATATTTTTCTTCTCAATCTGCTTTCTTTTTCCAAAGTCCATAGCATCGGTGCCAAAGATTTCACAATTTTTTTACTTGTCGTTTAACTTGTTATCTAGAAAAACAATTTTCTAAAAAAGGTGCAGGAAATTTACTAAAAATTACAAATTTTTATAAGTATTCTAAAATAAATTCAAAAACAATAATTTGAGTTAATATTTTCAATAATATTCAAAATTATGTTCTCTCAAAAAAAGTAATTTCAATTGGAAATTTAATTAATACTTTAAAATTTTATTTAAAAGGTAAAAAATAATTTCATTAACATAAATTAAAATGAATGTGATGCAATTCAATCATGAGTTTAGCAATCATTATTGAAATGGTATTGAGCTATTTGACTTCTTGGTTGGGACTAGAGAATATTTTTGTGAAATGCTATTGTTTTTAGTACTAAGTGACAAGTATTCATACGTGTATTTATTTTTTTAATCATATGTGTATTATTAATAAATTAATACCTACGAATAAGAAATATATCGACAGGTAGATTCGAAAGAAAAATAAATGGTACTGACAGAATTGAATTAAACTGTTATGAATTTTGAAATTTATTAGAAAAATTCTATTAGAATCCATTCAACTTCAATTTTGGAGTATGTTTGTAGAAAGGTATTATGTAATTATAAATGGCAAATAAGATGAGAAGTTCTAAGGAGACTTAAATTTTCTAATTAAATACATAAAACTATTGAAAGTAATTTGCAAACTTAAATTTAAATATATTTTTAATAAGTGAAATTTGAATTCAACAAGCTCAATTGATGACAAGATATAGACAATAGGGACAACTAAAATCCTATGAGTTTTGGATGAGTGGGTCCTACATGTCATGTGGTGGTCCCCCATTGTTGTCCAAAACTGAATGGTTACAGCTGTCACTTACTGGTTTGTCACTTATAATACTTAAACCAATCGCCACTTCCAGCCTGGCCAAGTAACATGGTGTACACCTTTTTTGTTTCCCCATTTTCCATTTACACATGAGTTGGGCCCCCTTTCAGCTTCTGCTAGAGCTTCAAAAAATAATAAACATTGGTTTTTTTTTTCTAAACTGTGAACTAATGATTGTAAAATTTACTTAATTATAAAATTGCAATTTATGTTAAATCTAATCTTCTTACACAATTTTTATTATTTAAATAGTTAGTGAAATCAAAATATGAAATTATATCTAAATGTAAAATCGAGTTGATTCAGATTTTAATTATTCAAATTTATATTTTTACATTTATTTTAATTATTGAAGATTCCATTTATTATATGAATAATATTTTAGGAATGTTGGTAATTAATTCAAATTCCACATTTTGCAAATAAAAAGTTGAAGAAGGACGTCTCTATCTAAAAAAAGTTTGTGGACAAAATTAATAATCAAGGAAAGGAAAATGGAATCCCTTTTCATATTTATCTTTAATATTCTCTTTCGAAAAAATATTTATCGTTAATATTATCACGTAACAATCATTAATTCTCATAATTAATAATCATAAATATTGCATATACAAGTTTCTGGATGGAATTCATATATACTTAGCACATAGAAATTATACGTTAATAAAAATTGACGAGAAACAAATCGAATCTAAGACCTAATAGTGATGGGCATCAATTATACCGCTAAAATTCACATTAAAAATATTTTTATTTTTTGTTAATTAAACAAATAAATATAAAATAAGGATTATTTTTTAAGTACCTAAAAATTTGTCCTGCCCTAAATCCCTAAGAAGAGGGATCAAAGTAGAAGGGTCCCCATCAAATATTCAATTAAAGAGTAGTTATCTCATAAGTATTGAACAAAATTTTTTGTCCCTAGCTCACATGAGGGGACTTTTTCAAAAATAATTACAATAAAGCCAAAATATTACCAACCACGTCATTCTTGAACCATAATTTAAATTATCATTAATGTAACCTTTACTTCCCAGTACAGAATATGCTCCAAAAAAATTTTAAAAAATAATAATAAAAAATTTGTAAATATATATTTTCCTTTATCTCTTTATTTTCTTAATTACTGCAGCAACTTTTACACTAAGGTATTAGCTTAATAATATATTTAGAGAGATAAATAACTATATAAGTTAATAAAATTTGCTACATTAGCAAATTTTATGGTAATGATTAAATGTCACTTTTTCAATCATGACTTGGCGTAGATTATGATGATTTAAAGTTAATATAAAACCATATATTAAAATGAATATAATCAATTACGGCACTAATCCACATCTAATAGAGTTTGGTGATAATTGATAATCGATAGGTGTTAGCTGATTATTGTCTGTATTTAATAAAATTTTTAAAATATAAAATGACTATTATAGGTATAATTATTTTTATATATATTATATATTTATCTTTTTAATTTAAAGTGGATATATTATTTTTTATGTAGCTGAATTATTGGTCTGTATTTTAATAAACATTTTTAAAATATAAAATGATATTATAGGTATAATTATTTTAATATATTATATATTTATCTTTATTTAAGTGGATATATTATTTTTTATTTTTAATACTTACATCAAATAATTACATAAATAAAAATATTAATTAAAATTTTAAAATAATATGTAAGAAAAAATTTTTAAATAACTATAAACAAACTCATCATAAAAAGCGTTAATTTGGAAAAATAATTTTATTTATAATTATTTTTAATGAGATTAATAAAATTGAAAATAATATAAACACGATAAAAAAAACTCTTAATGTAACTTATAAAACATGAGCTAATTGAAACTTCTATAAGCTATTATATACCGATTAAAAAAGCTTACTAAATACCTACATCTTAACTGTTGGGTATGAAATAGCTATCAACTGCATGAATCAACTAAATCAAACAGACGTTTCTTACTTAAACAGCTCCTTATGGATTTAATGGGACCCTTTCTAATTATTAACAAAAATGTAAAAGCATATTCTCCAATAGGTTCTGATAAGATGTAGTGGGAAAGACTATTTATAGAATGGAAAATATTAAAGATTGAATATAGCTTTTAAAAAAACACAATACATGCACTTTCCTAATTTTTCTTTTCCCCTTAATTTATAACATCCAAACAATTTTGATATGATTATTATTATTTTTCTTTGTCGTCAATAACTGCACAAATAAGTACAATTGCTTTTGCGTTGGCTTTTCAATTGACAGAAGAAAACTGTGTGCGTCCATTATTGGATTCCAAGATAAAACAAAGAAAGCTGGATTTTACTTACAGGGAAGAAATTTTATCAATTGCTTCAGTTACAATCTTTATATGGTTGCTTTGTTGTCCTTCTTCAATATCTTACTTAATTTTACATATTGCGGAAGATGTGAGTAGTAAAAACTCGAATTCTCTCTGTTATAAAAGTTATCATTAATTTGGTGAATGTTATTTTCATGAAAGTTTATTCGTACTTACTCGTACTACGTTAACTTTTAATATTATTCTAATCTATTGGGTATTTATTTGTATTAAAAAAACTTGAATTTGTTTTTCTTTTTAATACAAAATTGTTGATTAATTAATCAAAACTAACCATATATTTATATAGTTCTCTACTATGGTGGCTTTCATCATACAAACCATCACTTCAAATTTTAATTAATTTAAGGTTGTGTTTATCCATCACCAAAGATTCTTTTCAGTGTGAGTAAGCCTATCATTTTCTCAAATAAATTAACAAAACTAAAATAATAAATTAACATACCACGTTCCAGACATAGTTTTTAGCGGATAATGTCATTCTATTCAAGAAAATAATTTGTCTATGTGCAATCTTAGCCGTTCTATCATAGGATCACTCAAATAAATAGAATTTGAGTAAAATAAATATCGGTTCGGTTCCACTGTACTCGACTCATTCATTTTGTTTAAGTTAGTATAAGGCTTAACCTTTCATCCATTTTGTTTCCGTTTTACCCCAAATTTTCAAAATAAAATAATTTACGTTTGTGAGTGAAACTGCCAAAAATACATAGTAAATAAATTATTTACTTTCTAAACACCATTCGATGTGTCCAGAGCCCAAGCAGAGCAGACAAAATAATCCACTTCAGCCGCACGTTACGTGGACCTATGACTAATGGCCACGTGTCAATAATTGAGCCCTCAGTTGCCCATCGTCCAGCTGTAGTAGCAACAGTGACCGGTAGATAGGCTTAGACCAAATTACACAAATTCAAAAGAAAATCATTAAATCGCATTTTACACTCTGTCAGCCAATCGGCTGCTAAAATATTATTTTTCAATTTCAAAAATTTTACCGGAAACCGGCTTATACCGGTTCGCCAGGACCACCTTCTCAATATAAGTTGAGAAGTGGAGACCAGTACTTGCACAGACACAGAGAACGTTCTAGCTTCACATCCAGTGTAATTAAGACACACCGCCGTGGAATTTTGATCAGACGACAAAGATGCCGATCAGAAACATTGCCATAGGCCATCCTCAGGAGGCAACTCATCCAGACGCCTTGAAAGCGGCGTTGGCTGAGTTCATCTCCACTCTTATTTTTGTCTTCGCCGGTGAAGGCTCCGGGATGGCCTTTAATAAGCTCACTAACAACGGCGCCACCACTCCTGCCGGTCTAGTCGCCGCATCTTTAGCCCATGGTTTCGGTCTTTTTGTTGCTGTCTCAGTTGGAGCCAACATCTCCGGCGGTCATGTAAATCCAGCTGTTACCTTCGGTGCTTTCGTCGGTGGAAACATCACTCTCCTCCGCGGTATTCTCTACTGGATTGCTCAGCTTCTCGGATCCACCGTAGCTTGCTTGCTTCTCAAGTTCAGCACCGGTGGCTTGGTAATCACATATTAATTACTCTATTTAAGTTTGTCTAATTACATTTATGTTAACAGTTGTAACTGAATTTTGAGTTTTGATATGGTAATACGCAGACTACGTCCGCCTTTGCTCTCTCCTCTGGTGTTGGTGTGTGGAACGCTTTCGTTTTTGAGATTGTGATGACCTTCGGGCTTGTATACACCGTATATGCCACCGCAATTGACCCCAAAAAGGGCAGTCTGGGAACGATTGCACCAATCGCCATTGGTTTCATTGTTGGAGCTAACATTTTGGCGGGAGGAGCCTTTGATGGAGCTTCAATGAACCCAGCGGTGTCATTTGGACCAGCTTTGGTGAGCTGGAGCTGGGACAACCACTGGGTCTACTGGGCTGGGCCTTTGGTCGGCGGTGGGCTTGCTGGGCTCGTTTATGAGTTTTTCTTCATCGGCCACAACACCCACGAGCAACTTCCTACCGCTGACTACTAAAAACCGGCGATCGGCGGTTGTGGTTGGGGATGAATGATCGGGTGGCTCGGCTTTTTTTAACTTCTTTGGTGTATTTATTTTATCTTTTGAGGGTATTTTTATTTATCTTTTGTTTAATTTGTGATCGTTGATCTTTTTCCATCATCATCATCCAAGGTTGTGATTTGTGTATTCTGCTCTGGCTGTCTGATTCCATTTAAGTCATCTATCCCTTTTCTAGTTTCAGTTCCAAACTTAACGTCTTTATTTTTTTTTTTTTTTTTTATATATAAAAGCATCGATTGAGATTTTATTCTAAAAACAAATATAAAGTATTATGATGAACAAAAAGAAAGCGGTATAAATGGAAAGGCTATAAGTGTTTTTGCCTTTTGAATTGAGGATAACGTTGCTGGAAAAGGTAAATTTATTTTAAAATTTCTGGAAAAGATTTCTTTTCTTGGAACAAATGAAATAGTGTTCTTTATTCAAAATGTACTTACTAGTAATTCATTAGTATACTGATGATGATGAATTGAAATTTTGAACGTTATAATATGCACATGTTAATTAATAGGATGAATGCATTTACTTTCTTCCAAAAATTTCATAATATACTCAGATTTTTATTTTTACTCATTGAATATTTTTAACATAAGTGCTTCTTCGCTAATTGAAAATTTTAAAATCATTATTTAAAAGTTATATTAATTATACGTTAAATTAATATTTTGCAAAATAAAAACTATCAAAAATTATTATTGTTTGATTTGATTAGTCTTTTCACTTACATGAATAATGAAAATTAGAATAGAAAAAACTAAAAAGGAACGTTATTTCTATTCTAGCTCACAGTATTATTTTGATCCATATAAAAAATTATATAAAGTTACTAAAATTTATAATTTTGAAGGTACAGTTATAAATCTCCTCTAAAATTTAAATTGCCAAAAAATTTTATTCATAAAATATACACGAGAGAATTTATATGGCCTTAACTGGCATGACAAGATAGCCAGAAGCTTCGTGATGGGAATTGATTTTGTGGTGACATTTGCAAGGTTCCACGAAAAGGGAAAAAAAAAAAAAATCCATGTTATTGCTATATGTTTATTTTTACTTTTTTAGAATAATAATAATAACAATAATCCATATTAACCAAAAATTTCGATTTCGAACCTAAATATGGAAATTGCCACGTTAGGAGTCACTACCTATATAGATTTTATAGTACTCGAATCAGGCATAGTCAGTGCCCGGTAATCTTTGAAATGCCAGTGATTATATGACAAAAAAAAAAACAAAAATCATTTCACTGCATTCCAATAATGTTATCTAATTCATAATGACACATAGGCAGGCAAGATCTTTGATCTCATGCATTACTTTTTCTTTGCCTGCATTTTACTCCAACCCCTCAAAATAATTTTCCGATTTTCATGGGTGATTGTTCAGGAATTGGATGATTCATACGTCCCATTTTTTCAACTTGAGATTTATAACATTCGAAGGTAACATTATAAAAAGATAATCATTTTATTTATATTGTGTTTAATTTATTTTAATTGACAAAGATTGAATAAACAATTTAAACTGCATATGATAAACGATATATATTTTCACGTATCGTAAAACATGTGCAAAGGGAGAGATTTTAAGTTCGAGTTTTATCCACCGCAAAAAATTTATCACTAATTTAGTGAAAGGTAAATGCGATTACTTAATGTGTAACCCATAAATTCTCTCCGCCGTTAGACATAAAAGAAAACGTGAAAATCTCACATTAAATAAATATTACATCCTTAAAAGGCATAAGAGGATCGAAGATTAATTAGCTAATTAGAATACCAAAGCCCAGATTATCAACTTGGTCCTAACCTCAATTGCTAATAATGTCCTTCGTTTTGGAAAGTAAGAAGATAGATTTCCCAATTTCGTATCCAAGCTTTAATTACATACTGAACCTAGAGATTCCTTACCTTACCTCTCAGTCATGATACCTAAAGAACAGAGCATGTGAAACTTTGGGTCCAGGTTTCTGCAATTCACACCTACCCTTTTTTTACTCATGGACCCAACTTTGTTTGTCCTGTCAATGTTTTTTTCACTACTTTTGAGATCATTGTCTTAAATTAATTAAAGCACAAACAGAAAGTGGCTAATCTTTTGTACAAACCCATTGCAAAAATTTGTTCATGTTCCCTAATTATTCTTTGTCATTGCTATCACTATTTCTCTTTTTGGTGCATGATTCAATTATAAAGAACTAAAATATGTGGTTCACATGCCTCAAATGCCAAATATAATTTCGTGTTGGTGAATGCTGCGGTCCTTATGGAGCATGCGTTGATCAGTTTGTGGAAATAAATTTCGGAAAATGATAATTTTACGAGTTGAGTGTAAAATTTATTTGAGTGTAACGATGAAAGAGTCTTCATTTATAAGTGTTATATAGCCCTCGAGCTGAACGTAGTGAGAGCTGGATGAACTTTCGGATAGCAACGGATAGCAAAAAGGACTGATACTGAGTATATTCAATTAAAAAAAATCTAATTATTAAATAGCATTACCCATAGAATTATCGCAACAACCAAAAAATAAATTGAAATAAATTGGTAAAGGCGCACGAGGATGATGCCTTTGATACTCTAGCAACCAATGGGAACGTGAAACGTGTCATAAGCCTGTCCACATGCATTGAGTCGTCGTAGTCACGGTTTTGAGAGGATCCACAAAGTGGATTTTAGGACCCACCACGAACTGAAACCGACACCGTATGTAGTGGCGGTTTCAAATAAATGTGTTTTATGGACAAGGGATGACCGCCATTGCCAACCGGGATTCGGGCGGTGGCCCTACTCATTTGTGTGTGGCGCCGGTACCAATATGGCCAAAATTGAAATATTGGAGTTCCCAAATCTTGTAGGATATTTTATGTACTAGCTCTTGCTCTAGCCACACAATAAATTTGAAGACGTTTAGAACAAAACTAATTCTTATTCACTGTATAAGCTATTAATAATTTACAAAATGATTGAACATTTATTACTAAAAAAATATAACTATCTATTAATAGTTCATTTGTCTTAAAATATAAATCGCTTAAGATTTTTACATGCGAATTAAAAAAATAATTAATTTTCTTAAATTATAAAATTAAAGTTAATTTGACCAAATTAACTCTCATTTCAAAACCAAAAATAATTTATGAAGGTAGTTAATTTATTTAATGTAAATAATGGTAACATTGACATTAACAACGATTATTTTACTTATTTCAAATATACTCTCTATTAATGTTTTGTTTTGTTTTTGTAAAACAACTTACTGAAAAATATTTTTCATGAAACATATTTTATTTGAAAAGTATTTTTTTTGAAAAATAGTTTCAAATGACTTATTTTTCATTATTTGATTGTAATATAGCAAATTAGTTAAAAATGTGGGAAAAATAAAAACTCAAAATTAAAAATTGTAAAAGGGCCAATCGGGTTCCCTCTTGATCTGCAATTAAATGCTGTACCCTGAGCTATGGTAATGACGAAAAAAAACGTGTGAAAAATAAAATGGAAAAATGGAAACTCGAAATTAAAAATTGTAAAAGGGCCCAACAGGGTTCGAACCGGTGACCTCTTGATCTGCAGTCAAATGCTCTACCACTGAGCTATGGACCCAACGGGTTCTTCAATTTCGTGTTTGAAAATAAATTGTAATAACAAAAAAAAAAAAATTGTGTGAAAAATAAAATGGAAAAATATTTTATATAATTGTGTGAAAAATAAAATGAAAAAATCCATAATGGATATGGATGGAATACGGATATTCGTCATAAGATATCTGCTAACCGCTTAGGCAGTGAGTACCTACAAATATTTTATTCATCATTAGTAAAAATTGTACTTTAAATAAGTTTAGATTTTAATAGTTTGGATTCATTGGTACTCTATTCTTATAAGGTATTTTAAAAGAGCTTTGGATGAGTTATTGAGTAATAAAATTTAAATGAGTTCAGATACGAAGACTTAGATATATATTTAAATAGATTTGGAATGGATATAGATAGTAAAATTTTAAACGGATACGAATAGCTTAAATTTTATGGGTATCCCTCCCGCTGAAATCCCTGATCACATTAGTAGATCCTTAACGGGCTTAAACCAGAAACATGATTAAATTTAAGATTTCCTTGTGGGCTTATTTGGTCAACACAAGAAGTGTTCATTATTTGTGTTCCTACGGGCTTTTGGCCTAATATTATTTAGACTTTTATGATATTGGATACCTACATTCTCACTTGATGAGCCTATTGGGAATATTTATACATTGATCCAAGAAACAATTCAACAAATTTAACGCCTCCATACAATTATAGGCCCATTTCAACTTTTGTTTATTACGTATTCAATGCATTGGAATAATATTATGGAGTACAACAAATATAGTCTCTTCCTCTTAAATCAAAAAGTTGGTAAAATCTCCTGTGGAGGAGAGAGCTCAAATCCAATATCTATTGCTCCTCATTAGTGAGATATTTGACCTTGCGATGTGAATGGTTTTGATTCTTGGATTGCTGATGGGTATGGAAGTGATAAACGATCATATCATTAGTTAGCGGACTGAGAAGATAAACGGTACCATACCTTATCAAAAAAACACAACTTTTTAAACATAAACAATATAAAATAATTAACAATGTACAACTTAGACAGTTGTTGTTTCTGATGCAGCGAAGAGCCAATAGTGATAATTAGCTATCTTTTATCTTTTATCAACTTTTTATTCTTTGTTGATAACATATTAACATTGTCAGCGACTTGCTTCTCAGCCATGGCCTATAGCCCATTCTTATGAAGCTGATGCTTTTGTTATTTTGCTCCATTTGACGATTCTTCTGACCACAAAAATAACCGGTATATGAAAGTCTCTAAGCCATTTTTGTCAAGCTTTTTCTTCTGCTAAAAAACAATTTGGCACGTGATCAAAACAAATAAACCTTGTACTTTGGTTGGATAAAGCTTACGCTCACCTCGATAACGACTAACGTTGATTGATGTAAATCCAACGAACCTATCCACATTCTTGTCAAAGATTAGATTAATTCTTGCCGGACGCTCTGGGTTAAAATAGAAGTCTGTGTTGATTTCTGTTTTCGCATTCTTTCCTTAAATAACACACCATTTTTTACCAATTTAAAACCTTCACTTTTATATATAAAACCGTACCATGTTCATCTTAAAGTGAAGAATCAACAAACTAAAAAAAAGGAAGAAAAAAGATCAAGAAAAACTCGGCTTTTTATAAGAACTAAGCCAAAGCAGCAGGTTTTCTTCCAAGAATTCAGGTTATTGGCCCGAATATAAGCAACTGATCGAGCTTCATTTGTTGTTGGTACGTAAAGTACAGATCCACTCATGCAGTGCCTTCCACGTTATCTTTTCTGGATATTCTGTTTAGAACTTAAAACGGCACCGTTGTTTGACTCGATCCAAAAGTCTTCTCTTTAATGGTAGCTGGATAATCTTTTGTGTCTGTGCAATAATTGAGGTTTGTTCGGCAAAGACGTTATCGTGTCGCCTCGTCATCATCATCCATAGTAAATGAGGTGGCTAAGTGGGCTTGTTAGGACTTGATTGAGAAATAAAGCCACAGAATTGGGGATTAATGTACAATTCTGCTAAATTGCTGGCCTGATATTTTCTTTCGTTAGGTTTTTCTTCTTGCTTCCTCAGGCTCCATGTGCAAGCCTTCTCTTTTTGCAAACCCATGTTTGGTCTCCATTGTCCGTCACCCAAAAATCTTGTGTTTAGTTTTTAGTTTTTTTTTTTCTCTGGTTATTTGATATTTGTTTTGAGATGGAAATTCAATTTGAAGTTTTTATGATTTCAGGTGAAATTTGAGGAATCTAGATTAACCCCATGGAAGCTGAGATGATGGAGATTTCCTCTGAGCTTAGGATGTCAAATTCTTCCCATGAAGATGAGTCTACATTGGATCTTGGAATTGGGGATTTCGGGTGAACTTCAATTACTTCACTTTTAACCAATCATGGCTTTCAACTTGCTTAAATTTCTTTTTAAGTTTCTTATATTTGAATTTGAATTTATTTTGAAGGTGCTCTCATTATAGAAGGAGATGTAAGATCAGAGCACCCTGTTGTGATGAGATATTTGATTGCAGACATTGCCATAATGAGTCAAAGGTTTAGTCTTTGCTTTTCTATTATTTATTTATAGATAAGGATGTCAGTTTCATGCTTAAAGTTTAAATTGTTATTTTTCAGTATGAAAATATTTTTTCTTCTAAGCTTACAGTTAATTTCTGCTTTGAGCAGAATTCTATGGAAGTTAATCTCCTTGATCGTCATGATGTTCCTCGCCACGAAATTAAAAGGGTTAGTTGCTCTTAATTTCCAATATTTTAAACTTATTCTTAGCACATAATAAGCATGTTTTTTTATTTGTTTTTTTTTTTTGTTTCATAAGCGCTTCTTCTGTTTTGTAACAGGAAATATAAGAAGAAAAATTAGGAAAAAGATCTTTTTTTTTTTTTTTTTAAATTTTTCTTTAGTTGTAGTTGCTGGGGGGTTGGACTTCACATGAATTATGTTGTAGTTGTTTCTTTTCACTTTCAATTTAAAATGATGTTTGAATGTATGGTGTCATAAATAAAAGTGAAAGCATCTATGAAAAGATGCAATTTTTTTTTTTCTTTTCTTTTTCAAAAATTATTTTGGATAAGTGCATCTTGTCATTTGTTTTTCTATGAGCTAATATTGGCATATCATGGATCTCTGAATACTCGATAGCTTTCTTTATCACAGCCTGTCTTTTTTCTTTTTGAATCCACTGAATAAGCTTCATGGGGGAGGATCCGAGGCATCTTTCCCTTTGCATAGAACCTCCAATCAAGATCCAAACTATAAGCTTTTGGTGTTGGGCTATCCTTTCAATGACTTGCCTACGTTTTTTCATTTTGAAGCTGTTTGATTTATAATAAGAAAATTTCTTTTATTTCTTTGTTGTGAATTAGTATACTTCCGTAAAACACTAGTTTATGTTGATCTACGATATCGCTATTTTATTTCAGGTTATCTGTTCCTTGTGTGAGACAGAACAAGATGTAAGTTTCTTCCCTCGTCAAAGTGATAACAATACCAAAATCCCCATGAAGATATATACAAGGGTTTTAAGTTCAACTTTTCTTGATGTCTCCTCAGGTTCAACAGCACTGCATCAAGTGTGGGGTTTGCATGGGGAAGTACTTTTGCTCCAATTGCAAGTTCTTCGATGATGATGTAAGCCTCAAAAGCACCATTTTTTCACATTCAAGCTTTTTTTCACAGTTTAGCTTTCATATTGAGTGAACCATTTTTCACTAGGTTTCTAAGCAGCAGTACCACTGTAGTGAATGTAGAATCTGCAGGTTTGTCCCTCACATTAATAGTTTCCTTTTTCCTTTAATAATCTAATGTGTTATATTTATATTGATCTTTTTGCACTTACAATGTGCATGTAATTTTTGCTGTTACAGAACTGGAGGTGAGGAAAATTTTTTCCACTGTAATAAATGTGGTGAGATTCTCAACAGATTAAGTGCTCGAGAAATTCCTTCATTTGGAATTTGTTCCATTACCTTAATCACTACTTCATGTTTTTCTATTCTAGGATGCTGCTATTCAGTCTCATTGAAGGAATCGCACAATTGTGTGGAAAGAGCAATGCATCACAATTGCCCTGTTTGTTTTGAGGTAAATTTAGGAATTCAAAGATTATCATTGATCGAAGTAGGGTGATTATGATAATTCTGTTTTACATTTTACTTATTCCATATTGTTGTTGCAGTTTCTCTTTGATACAACTAAAGACATTGCTGTCTTGTCGTGCGGACACACTATACACTTGGAATGCGTTAAAGAGATGGAGCGGCATTTTCAGTAAGTTTCTGTGAACAATAATGTTCATTTGTCATTTTTTACTGACTGTTAGAATAGCTGTTTGGTTCGTGGTATTTATGCTGAGATTTTTCTTCCAGGTATGCCTGTCCTGTTTGCTTAAAATCATACTGTGATATGTCTCGTGTGTGGGAAAAACTGGATCAAGAGGTATTCCTACTATTGTCAGTTCTGAATAAAAAATCATATGGTTGTTTCCGAGGAACCTATTCCTTCATTTGTTGATGAGTTGTAAACCAATACTCAGGTTGCTTCGACACCCATGCCTCAAATGTATCAAAATAAGATGGTAAGATATAGTGAAATATTCTTTCTACAATTTCACAAATACGAACATTCATTCTTTGAAGAATAACACTTTACTGTTATCATTTTGTAGGTTTGGATTCTTTGCAATGACTGTGGAGAATCATCGCAAGTTATTTTCCATATTATAGCACACAAGTGCATAAAATGTAATTCATACAATACAAGGCAGACACGAGGAGGGCCCACATCGTGTTCATCAAGAATTGAAGAGATTGTAAGATGAGTATTCTGATTGTTACTTCTCGAAGGCTTCTTCAGTAATTGAAATTTCATGCAATAAGGAGCTGGAGTTGTTATTCTTTATTTTTTTCTAATTATTCACCTGTATGTTACCTCGAGAATCCTTCTCGAATTTGCTGTAGTTCATAGGCAGGTGATCTTTTTACTTATCAGAATGTGAGATTATCGCCTTATCTGAATTGGCAATATCTTGATATCGAATAAGGTTTCGCTGAAATTGAAGATTGAAGGTGTTGATGATAGCAATGGATAGTATGTTCGAGAATTGAACCATCCAAAAGACGTTCTTCGAACTATCACATTTCTCGACAAAGACAAAACATAGAAAGGCAAAGAGAGTTGATGAAAATATTAATGCCATGACAGTTGACAGTTATTCAAAGAACTTGGCTTGAACTGTCTGAGAATTGTCATATTGAAATACTTTCCATTGGCTGTATTTCTTAGACATTTCAGTGAAAATTAAGAATCATCTCTTATGTATACCTACCCTACACATTATTTACTATTAGATGAAGATATTTTTAACTTTTCTGCTTCATTTTACATGATTTATTTTCTACTGACTCTGCATTTCTTAAAAATGCTTTATATGTCTAGGGATTATTATAAAGTCCCTATATGGATTTCGAAATAATATTCATCCCTCCGTTTTTAGAAATGCCTTTTGAAGTCTATATATTTTCATTCCGCTGGAATATTATCTGAAATTGAATAAGGTTTTGCTGAAATTTGAAGATTGAAAGTGATGAAGATAACAATGGATGGTATGCTAGAGAATTGAAAGATCCAAAATTGAAATTAATACCTATCGGAAAGTTTGGATTATGCTGCAAATTCGGGACACAAACCATGAACTTTTATCAACTACGTAGTAGTTTATTGTTCTCAAATAAATACCTCAATTTTTTTTTTTTTTTACATAACCAAATATTACCAAAAAAAAAAAAAAAAAGTAGTTTAATTGTTTCTCAAATAAATAGCCCAAACTTTTTCTTTTTTTTTTTAATAACCGAAATACTTACAAAAAAAAAAAAAAAATCTAAATGAATACTCCAACAATCATATCGGCCTGTGCTTACAATGAAAGTACTAACTAGACTAATACATAACCTCTATTAAAAGTTCTTGTTCCAAAGAAAAAGAAAAAAAACCAAAAAAACCCTCTATTAAAGAAAAAAAAAAAAAAAAATCAATGAATACTCAAATCATGGCCTGTGTTACATGAAATATATAGATAATAATAACTCTATTAAAGTTCTTTCAAGAAAAAGAAAAAAAGAAAAAAACTCTATTAAAGTTGTTAAACCAGTTGGATAATTCTGTTAATCATTGCCATAAAGTTTGATCTCTCTTTTGTTGATTGGTTGTACTGGTCTTGCATTTTTCTCTGCATACTGCAAATTAACAACAAAATGATTAATGATGCTTAAGTTTTGATTATTCATTAATTACTTCTCTACAAGAACTTGTTAAATTTACAAATTAAAAACTACTTACATCATGGACAGCCTCTCTGAGTGCTTTAACTTGGTCTTTTGAAACAGTTCTTATCTGTATCAAGTGCAAAATTGCAGTTAAAATCAAGAATTTTCAGTTTTGAAGCCAAGAAAAAAAAAAAGGGTTTTCAATATATTAATAAATACCTTCTTGTTAATGGTCCAAATGACACCTTCAGTGCAAGGAGGAACAGTGAGGGAACCCAAGTATCTGTAATACTTCTTGCCATTCATTTTTATGTCGTTTGGATCTATCATTCCTTTGGATCTCTCTTGCTTATGATCAGTCATACCCTTTATGTCTCTGAGCAACTAATTAACAATATATTAGGAATTAGAAATATGATCCATCAAAAACATTAAAAGGAAAAACATCAAGAGATTAGAGAAATCCAAAGAATTTACCTTGGAAAGGAAAGCATCAGGATGGCCAATTTTGTAGAGTTGTCCAATTACAGTAATGTTATTTTTCACATTTGGGTCATTGCTTAAGTGAACCATGTGCAGCTCCATATCATACCTATAACAAAGCCAAACAAAAAGATAATTTCTACTTATTTGTCTAACTTAGTTAATTACCTATGGCTTAATCACTAAAACAAGAATTTTTGAGTTTTTTCATTTTTAATTTTATCGATCAATACACTGTATTTATTTTTTATTGTCAATTATGGCATCCGTCCAGAGTTTGATGGGGTGCAATCGAGTGATGCAGTTTCAGGACCAAAAAAACCTATTTGACGGACTTTAAATTTGTTCACGGTCAAGAGTTTGTTAATTATATAATCATACCAAATTCTTTCAAGCTTACTGTGGGACATAAAGGAGATTGTTTCAACAAGACAATATTCCAATTTAGAGATTTTAAAAGTAAAGATGAACAGTCAAAAAATGACTATATGGACGTGAGCTCACGTATTGTAAATCCAACTAATGAGTAATAAGTAAGAAATTAACGGACGGAAGCCGTAATTCACAAAAAAAAAATAAGTTTAAGATAGCAATTGATATTGGCTAAATTTTTGTTTTTTCTTTTTTTTTTTTTTTTTTTTTTTTGAACGGAAGCCGTAATTCCAAAAAAAAAAATAAGATTTAAGATAAGCATTAGATATTGGCTAAATTTTCTGTTTTGTTCTTTTTTTTTTTTTTTTGTTTTTGTTTTTTTCGGCGATTTACGCCATTACTATTAATATAATTCAAGATAAGATACCTACCTGGCCATTCGAATGGTATCGTCTCAGAAGGAGAAGTGCCAATGGCAATTCCAGTGGTGAGAAAGTACTCAAGTTCCATTAACTTGTACTAGATCCTGCTTGATAATCGTCCTACCATTGCAAGCTTCAATTAACCATTTTATACATTTGGGGGTTAATAAAATCACTTGGGATATATATATATACCTAGTCATATACGGCAGAGCACAAGCAGGGTTTATTACATTGTTTAGGCGGATATCGGACTCCTGATACCAAAGTTGTTGGCATGTCGAGCTCTTGATACACTCGTGTGGGCAATTAGGCCCCGCCCTTTCAACGCGAGTAAGAAGGAAATTAAGTGCATTGTCGGAATACGATAAAAAATGTGGCATGAGCAGTACCGGTCGAACCGTGCCGCGCACAGGAAATGCGCAGGGAGTTAAACCGTGGTGTACATCCGCTTAACAGTGTTAGTGGCGTCACGCATCACGACCGTGATGACGAACTCCGAATAATTTATTCCACTATCTTAAAGGAACAATATATATGTAGCAGCACAGAAACGAGCGCCGCTGGCGGTTGCGCGGCAGGGGTTGGTGTGTGTGTGTGAGTAGATAACAAAAAGATAGCCGTGGCCGCTACACGCATATACAGTGATTTCCGACAACAAACACTCCCGAAATACCATCCTCGCCACTATTTTTTGCAGTCAGGATCAGCTCGGTTTCTAAAGGATCGATGCAGCAAGCCCTGTTCCTAAAAACTATATAACTGCGCCGGATCCTCTGAACATGCGGACGCAGCGGACTGTAGTCTGAGGATGAGTGATACCAGAGATAAATAGAGAAAGGAGTCACCTACCGACCTCCTATTTATAAGCAGGCGAATGGGAGAATATGAGAGAAGAGGCGTCTGCATATAGCAATAGCACCGGAATCGCACTCAGGTTTGTCGAAAAGAGGCACCAATGACATGGACCAGAACCCGTTGGAATGGGTTGGCTGTCACACGTCAGTTTACCTGAAAGTCATAAATCCAAAGAAACGTTTGATGTTGTTTTCTTTGCTATTTCTTTCTACCAAATGTTATCTTTCCCTTTTCTAAATGTTATCGTGGGTTGCCACACTTGAGTCGGGCACCGCACAACAAATACTCCCGCCCCGACAACGAGCGAGACCTCACTCACTCACGAAGGCGAGAGCAGGACACACGTTCACGCGCGGTGAGAGAAACGTTACGCATCACGTCCCTTCCAGCTATACATTGCTATTAGATACTGCCACCATCTTGTACCGCCGCATGACAAACTTTGGCGGGACGGAATGACGCCAGCCACGATCTCCTTATGTCGGGAAAAGACTTTCGACACAAGGCACTACCTGCAGCATCTTTCCTTCATTTTCTTCGCCTTCCTCCTCACATCCGTCAGAAGGGCATCTAGTTTACGAACTCAAGTTTCTAGAAGTGATTAGTAAAAGAGGACCAACTAAGCCGCTTTAGGCATTCTCCATTCTAACACCGTATGGAAGTGTACTTTCTCAATACTGATCTTCACGCTGTCGACAACCATAAGTTTCTATGCTCTGATACGATTCCATATTCGTAAATCATCATGGCCAAGCAAATCTGCTTGTTGCTGGTCCCGAAGTCTTTCATAAGCAAATAGACTACGTTAGGCTGTTTCTTCCAAGCTAGAATTCTGAACAAACAGGTCACGCATATCAACCACATAGAGCAAGAAACAGAATATACTCATTCATCAGGACGAATAGAAACCACAAGTGATCCTCGAAGAAGTAAGTCCTTACTTCTGTAGCCATAGACGACTCCCACCATGAGTAAGACTACAACGCTATCTTGAGTACACACTGTCTCAGTGACCTGCTGTTCAAGTTACCGTACAAGCTCTTCTTCCAGTGTTTAGCAAACACACAAGATCCTACTTTTTCTTTAAGCGATAATCCTCTGGTCAGCTCCATGTAAGTAGTTCTTACTTTCCAAAATCTCCATTTAGGAAGGTAGTCTTTCCATATTTTGCTGTCGAGTTTCCCAGATTAAAAAACTGGTGGCATTCCGACACTTATGTCGAATGGATGGTCATTTTCACAACCCAGTCTAAGCTTTGAATTGTGGTTGGGAGCTTGTGTTTCTTCCTGCTTGATACTTGAACACCCACATTGTTCTTCAAAGCTTTCTGCCTTTAGGGCAAACTTCACTAGCATCAATGTTACATTCGCTCATCGCAAGGACTTCATTTCCATCTTTCGCATGAGTTTCAATCCACGGTTCCTCTCTGTGTCATTTCCAAGCTTCTTCAAAACAGCTGTTTTAGGTTCTCCCCCGTCAGGTCGTCAGTACCATACCTCATTGAACTGGATATCTAGTAGATGGTTGGTAAGACTCTACTAGATCTTCATTAATGTTTTGAGAATACCTTCACCGGTGCTAGGTGGTTTGAATAATGAACAAATAATCTTCCATCTGGTCATCTGAGATTAGGAAACTTCTTGGACTCTAAACGTCTGCACTTTGTTCTTTGGACAATTTGTCCTTCAATCTCCAATTTGTTTGCGTTCTAATTGGTAGGGACTTCTGTATGTCTTGTTTGAGTCTTCATCAGATCTATTGGCACTCTGCTTCAGAATATCTTATCTCAAATAGTCTGGATCTTCCAACAAATAACAAGCATCACGATTTTCATAATAATCGTCTTCTGGAATGGTCATAAAAACCTATAGCCACACTTGGTCTTGGCCATAGCCAATGAATACACAACCATCGTAGCTCTGACTCAAGCTTAGACGTTCCATCGCCTTGCGGCGACAATGTAACGAAGGCTTTGCATGCAAAACCCGCATAATGATCACAGAAACGCAAATGATCATAGGAAACATCCTTTCCTAACCATACTCTCTCTGGAGTATCATACTATAGAGGGAAACAGAGTGAACGGCGAACTGCTGTGGGTAACGCTTCACCCCAAAATCTTTTAGACAACTTTGCATATGAGAGTAAACATCTGACTCTCTCCATCAAAGTTCTGTTCATCCTCTCCGCCAAACTGTTCAGTTGTTGCGTCTTGGGAAGTGTCGTTTGATGTCGAATACTATGCTCTTTGTAGAAAACATCAAATGGCCCAGTGTATTCTCCACCATTATTTGTCCTGATACACTTCAGCTTCTTGCCTGTCTGTCTCTGAACCAGGTTTAGGTTTAGAAGGCTTCAATGTGTATACCCAAGTCTTCCTAGAATGGTCATCGATAAATATCACAAAATACCAATTTCCACCATATGACATCGTCAATGGTCCACACAAATCTGAATGAATCAGATCTAATACATTCTTCATTCTAGAAGGAGGGGTAATATTGAAAGCTACATGGGGTGATCTTAGGGAGAAAGGCTACGCTTGTTTTGGGGCCTTTCCCGGCTATAACGTGGGCAGTTGCAGGAACATCGTTGTCTAGGGGTGGAGAGGCTTGCATCTCTGCAGAATCTGCATGGTCAGTACGTGGTCCTATCTTGCCAGAGTTTTCCTAACTCAATGTGCCGTCAGGTCGTTTAATGCCATAAAGTCAACTGTACTGTCATTCTCCGCTACACTCAAAGTGTCTTGGGAAGAGTTTCGCATCGCATCACGTACCAGGTCTTCGGTCTTAGGCTACCATAGAATTAAACCTTTTGTGAGCTTTCAGAGTCTTGACCTATTGAAGGGTGCTGACGAGAATCCTTCATCATCAAATTTGGGTCTCGGTTAGATCTGTGAGAGTTGGACGCTTATTCTATATATATCTCTCTTATTGCGTGCGAGTTGCAGTCTTGTCATCCGTTTATGTTCCAACTAAACACAGGGCAAATGCATTTTTAATTACCTTAAGGGAGATCTCTCATTTACTCCATATATTGGTAGGATACGCGCTAATTCAGACTGATCAATTTTGCTTGTCCCATTTTGACTGTGTGCAGAAATAAGTATCACCGGAACATAAAATCGTATACGTGAACAGTAGTATACGCGTCGGAATAAGTGACCATGAAATATTTAAGTATACTCGAAATAGTAACTGATATCATGAAATCAGCGTAACTGTAACCACGTCAAATAGTACTGTGATACGTGGAATAGTGCTGGGGCTTAGACTTGAAAACTTGACTCAAAGCAACAGTAACGCACAATCATGTAACTATTCACCAATCAAACCACAAGTTTACTATTTTAGACTATTTCAGCACTATAGCTCCAAATTCTGAACGTTTGCCGAGCGACAACACCCAAGGACCTCGTGTAATTTTCTTTTCTCTTCATCAGTGGTATATTTATTATTCAAAATATACTCCCACGGATCCCGGTACCGGAGCCTATCTGACCAGTTTGGACTGTCCGAAGACCTTCGCGGCCTTTGGTTGGGGGTCTTGATAAGGCCGCTGGGAGTTTTGTTAGGGATAGTGTGTCGACCTCTGATAGTTACCATGTTGTGTTATTGGGGCATCACGTTGCTGGAATAGACCACTCGGTTGCGCCTTTCAACCGAGTAAGAGAAGAATGAATGCCGAGGCGGAATAATAAAAAATTGAAACCACACAGAAATTTACGTGGTTCACACCTCAACTGTTGTAGGGCTACGTCCACGGGACGAAACTCCGAATAATCTTTCCACTATTAAAACAATAGTAAGTACACACAGAGGAGTAATAACAAAAAATAAGTGGCACCAAAGTGTTTCCGCAAAACACGTGCCCAAAATAATCCTCA